CTCGGACTTGCCTTCTTTGCGAAGACCTCTAAGTCCGTTGGCAGGAACCGACTGATCCGATGGATCGGGCAGATCGCACGGGTCGGACGGATCGGACGGATCGGACGGAGGCGATGAGGACGAAGGGATGAGAACGCCGGCTCTGGGTGCCAGTTGACCAGCCCCGACGGTCGTCTGATTCAGCCAGTTGGCAAAGGCCAGCCAACTCGACTGCCTGGCTTGAAGTTCGAGTCCCGCCTTGACACCACCACTCACCGGCGTTGAGGCGAGAAGCGCCTCGGAGTCGCTTGCCGAAACAAGGCGATCTGCGTCGGGCGACAGGTTGAGAGCCTGATGGGATACTGCGGCACCAGCGGACGACGAAGACTTGTCGACTAGTTGGATCGGGTCGCTATTTGCCTCCTCTGAGGTGGAGGCGAGTTCCGCAAGGGACCAGATCTTTGCCGGCCCCGAGGAGCTGTGGAAACTGGCAGGATCGTCGCCGGTAGAGGAGGGTGATGAGGTTGGCGATAGCCCCACGAGACCAGGTCTCAGGGTCACGGACATTCGCTTGTCGCCAGTACCTGCGGTCTCATCGCAACGGCTGTTTTCGAACAAGGCGCCCAAGCCTCGATGTCCGCTCGGTCGTTTTGTGAGACCGTTTATGTCGTCGGGAAACGCAGAATTGAAAGTGGGCTCTTTTAGCTCGCAGAATCGCCTCTTCAGTTCTCGCACCTTTTCACAGTCTCCATTCCCCCCATCTCGGGCATCAAATCGCTCGGTATAACTAACCGCCTTGACGACTCGACTCAGTTGGCCGTAGAAATTGGGCTCCAACATGCCTGGCTCGAGACTCTTGATCCTTTCTTGCATTCGCTTTAGCTCTTCTTCCACTGCCTCTCTGTCTTCGTCGTCATTGTCATCGTCGTTGTCGCAATTCTCCTCTGTCTCCTCTTCCTCTTCCTCCTCCTCATCCTCCTCTTCCTCCTCCTCCTCTTCCTCTTCCTCCTCCTCTTCTTGATCTCCATCCTCCTCATCCTCTTCGTCTCCATCTTCCTCATAGTTGGCAGTCTGTATGTCGCTGTTCGACTTCCTGTTGGCGTTACTCCGCTTGCCCGACTTTCTGGCCTGGCTTTGTCGCCGGTCTTTAAGGCTCATGTTTGCCATCTCCTCGTCCTCACAGACTCCGACCTCGGTGTTGGGGTTGCCGGACGTCGAGGATCCATTTATTCCAGCTCCACCGCTACCGCTGCTGCTGGAACAGGCACGAACAGTCCATGTGACTTTGTTCTCTTTCTTCAGACGGCGTCGAGCGTTGGCGAACCACGTGGACACTTGTGTAAGACTCATTTTGGTGATGATGGCCAGCATTATTTTCTCACCCTTCGTTGGATACGGATTTTTACGATGCTCGTTTAGCCAAGCCTTCAGCATACTGGTCGTTTCACGGGTGGCATTTTTGCGTCTGTTCGAGTTGCCAGGTGTCTCAATGGTGCTGCTGTGGCAGCTAGTTTATAAACGGTTTAGGAAAAGTTACGTTTTAGAATGCATGTGCCTCTAATACGAAAGAGAACTGACTAAATCATCCTACATTCATTTTTTATTTTAGTCAAATTGGCATGTTTGATAGAGCCGAAAAGTCTTTTTGATTTAATGTTACCGTAATACTCTGATTATATCCATCCGATGACGGACATAAGCCTATCACGTTTTCACCCGAAATGAAGGAGGATTCCCCGTGGACTGCGTCAATCTGTATTTCCTATTAAAACCAAACAGCGGCATAACAACTGGAATAAGCTGTCATCCTCTAGTGAGATAGACCTATGCATTTCTTCAACATACAGATTCATAAGACATGAAAGTCCTTATGCCTTTATGCGAGCTAAACCGAAACTGGGTTATATGGGGAAGTAAACTAGGCGGGACCAAGAAAAATTGTCATTTTCATATAAATGCAACTTGGATTCACCATTAAGGGCAGGAAAGTTTTTGATTTAGATGAGTCCTCATAGTCTGGATCAGGCATTGCATCCTTGCCTCGCCAGTAGTCCCGGTAGGATTCGAGCCAAGGTTTTCGCAAGTTTAGAAGCAAGCATATTTGAGGTACACAAAGGCCTGATTTTCCAGACTAAAAGATTAAGTTACCCTAGGTCGCTTAAGGTTCTTTAGGGAGTGATAGTGGAGATTTTCTCACAATTCTGTGGAAAAACT